CAAGTACGTATTTATTGATACACATGATGACAAGGCAGTGAAAATAATAAATGTTACTTTGCAAGATCTACACAAACTAATACGAGTTAAAATAACTCGTATGAGATAAAAATAACTGATTCCTATTGGTGAGTAAATCACAGGTACTATTAATAGTCCTTTTACTTATTACCTTCATTTATAACCAAAGGAAATGTTAAATACTAGTTATATTAGTATGCTAAATACTAAGTTAGTGAAAATAAAGACTTAAAATGTTCCCTCTGAAATTTATAGACTACCTGAATTCTATCCACAAACACTATAGATTTCTGTGTTAGAATCCTATACAATAAACTGATTATACAACCTACTGATTATACAAGAAAGGACCCACATCTTTGCCAGGGAGAAGAGCATCTCTTGGCTCTGCTCAGATCACATCCACATTGGATGCTCTGAGATCTCTGACTTCTTGTCCACTCTATTAAACTTGAGGACTTTTATGCCTCACGCAGCTCTGTGTAGTACACAAAACAGGAGTCTGTGTAAATAAATGGACTATGACTGGGAAAGGTGACAGCCCTGTCATTGAGAGAACAGATGAAGACAGATAAGACAACAAAGGGCACATCTGTTGCCAGCTGCCAATTGCCAACTTAGGTTCCCTCAACCAGAGACCCAGTGCACCCACCAAAATCATGATGTATGTAAGGCTTTGTTTGCTGGATGTTTTGTTTTATTGTGTTTTGTTTAATAATCAGTGTTTTGAAGTTGCAATGATTCCCTGAGACAAACTGTAAGAGCTCTTCATTGCACCCCAAATGAATGTGGTTGGGACGATCAAAGGGCCCAGCTCTCTGCTTGCCAGAGCTCTCCTAACACTGTGGGAACAAGAGGGCAGACTTATGCTGATTGCACATCCTCTGTTGTTTGACAAGACAGCTGGAGGTGGGGGGCTTGACCCTCTTTCCAATATTATTTCTGGGATAGCTCAGCACTCTCAGAAAAAAAATAAAAGGTATTTTACATGCTGAGAAGCTACTAAAATGAGTGGCAGTTACTCTCATCATGATGTAAACATTGGACATGGTAATAATAAAAACGATTATTGTTTGATGCCACATATGACAGGAACATGGCATGCACTGTATATACCCTTTCTTACTGGACTGAGAGCTCCACCAGGGCAGGGAAAGGTCAGATACCCCCATAGTTAAGTGTAGCAGACTGTGTCCTTGGCATTCACCTATTCATACATTCCACTGGGATTTAACTGCAAGGTGGGTCAGAAGAACCAGAGAATTAACATTTCCAAAGCAGCCTTCCCTGATGAATAGCAGTTGGTGAGTAAATCCCACCCCCTTAGGGCAGCACTCCTAAGAAATATCCTATACTGTCTCCAGAGGACAGTCCCTGGAACACGGACTTCTGTGACTGCCTAGGCACATGGCCTTTTGCCAAGGCTCCAGGTTGAATCCCTCCACACAGTCCTCAGCAGTGTTAATGACCAGATTGTCCCCCTTTGGCTGCTTACTCTGGAACCCTGAAGAGCAACTGTGCAGGGTAGCACATTTCTTGCTTTGAAAGTTCCAGGTAAATCACAGGTTTACATAATGCTCTGGATAGTCAAGCTTTCTATGTGTTTGTGATAGGCAAGGAAGCTTGCCAAAAATTATTCTCCCAGGGTCTATGTGGGGATATACATACAGAAAAGTAAGGCATATTCATTTTCACTAAAATGCAATCACCCACAGATGCCATTTCCCACTCATACTGTTTGGAACAATAATAAAAAGCTCATAAGGGCTGGGGATATAGATTAGTAGTAGAGTGGTTGCCTAGCACACACTAGGTCTTGGGTTTGATCCCTAGTACTGCCATAAAAAAAAAATACTGCATGAATTCAGGGCCCCTAATCAGCTCATTAAAGGTGCCTCTTGCACTGACATGATTATTATCGTTTCTTAGCAGGAGCAGCTGAAGCCTTGAGAGGCTAGAGGTCCAGGAATGCAGCTTTTATCCAGCAACCAAATCTCTGGGCTTCAGTGGCTCCCTTGTAAGTGGAAAACTCAGGATCTTTCTCCCAGGTTTGTTTGTTTGTTTTCCTCTGAGAATTAAAAAGGATCCACCTTATTTGTGATATGTTTTAAATTCCTTTTACACCTGAATCTTTTTAAGAACAGAGGCAACCTTCACGTTCTGCTATGCTTATTCTGACATTATATATAAAAGTTTCCTTTAATTCAAGCTACTAAAATACTCAGGCTGTTTCTTTTCCTCCCAGGAAGGAATCCCCCATCCCATCCCAACCATAAATTTCCCAGGTCCCTCAAAGGGACACACAATAAATCAATTGCAGAGGGCAAGTTAATTAACCCCAACTGAGAAACAAGGTGCCTGGAACTGCCGGGTGACAGTTGCTCTACAAACTGTGTTTGGTATACAAATGAGTCAAAGGTGGCTTCTGTATATGGGTTGTTTATTTCTTCACTGCAAGAGGAGACCCATCAGCTCAAAAGCCTGCTGGTGCCAAACTTAAAAATTTCCCCATGCAGTTATTTTTCAAACAGCTCAAACAAGCAAATGTTTAGAACCTGCCTGCTTTGTCTAACCCATGAAATCTCACCCAGCAGCTGTGACCTATTCATAAGATAGGGCCTATAGGTATAAAACCCCAAGCTACTGCTGCCTTCCAGAAGCTCTCTGGCCCAATCCCCACTCCTCCCAATCTTGTGATATTAAGCAACATTACCTTAACACAGAAACCCTCTGCCCTTGGGAGTTCACCTACCTCTCTTCCTTCTGGATGGAGTCCCTTCTGCCATGAGACTCCCAATGGACAGTCTCATACTATGAGGATTTCCAGTCTCACAACCCTGTTCAATAATCCACCTAACAAAGCTTGTTGTACATTTCCTTCACTAGTCCTTCAAACACTCTCTAAACATTCTGTGGACCAGGAGAATGACATGGAACCTGGCTAGCAATGGAGCATGTTGCCCTGCCCCAGATTCACTGAACCAGACATTGCATCTTAACAACATTACAAAGTTGTACACACTGCAATTCAATGTTAGTGTGCACACTGAAATTAGCTGTCTGCTGGGCTAAGAGACTTTCATTTGGGGATTAATGCAGTAGCCAAGCACAATACACTAAAGAGACTAATATGATAAAGACATCAACCCACCTTGACTGCTTTCAGTCTCTGCTTGTCAATCAATTTTGCTGAGCCTGTTTTTGCTTTGTCTAATAGAGACTATTTAGTAATCAGCTCTAAAGACTGCCGGGTATTACCTACTCAGCAGGGAATAGGCTCTTCACAAGAAACCCTGATGCTGTACTGGACCATAGCCACATCTAACAAGCATGTACACACACACACACACACACACACACACACACACACAATGTACCTACACAACCTTTACTGGATGTGCATATGTATAATCAGATATTGGCCCCTCAAGCAAGCATGTTCCATTCGTACCCACCCAGGCATCTGCAACACACTAAAAGCCCCCTGGACTTCTGCAACCTGAAAATGCACACCAAGAGCAATCACATCCATTCCCAATAACTGGAATATTATGATCTTTTACAAGACACAGTGGGGAGCAGGTGTTAAGAGACACAGACAAGAGGAGCCTGAACAAAGAATCCCTTCCACACAGAGGCATATGATCCAGTGAGTGATTGTGAATGAGGTCCGCCTCTGCCCAGGAGTGTGGAAACTAAGCCTTAGGGCACCACACAGGACAGTGTAAACGAATTAATAGCTAGAAAATCCTGGGTGAGACAAAGTGTATTTTGCTTATGCTTACTAGATTTACAGTTGGAAATTACACATGCTTACTAACTCTGTGTATATTTACCCTGCTGTCTTCCCAATGGACAACCTTGATATGGATTAAAAAAAATTTTTTTCACTACATGTAATGGATTTTACTAATGTTTAGCAAAGTAGCTCTGGTCTTTATTCTGTACTTATTTTTTCTTTCTTTGTACGTAATTTTAAGCATCCATGAGATTTGATTTTTCATTCTATAACAACTATAGGTAACCACTTAGAAATAATCCAGAAAGGGTTAGGGTAAGTTGTGATAAGGAACTAATACAAGTAATACTTATAATACAAGTAGTGTCAAGAAATAAAGAACTATCTAAAACAGATGGCCAGCAAAAGCCAAAAAGTCACTAAAAACTATCGAAAGTACAACATTAACTCAAAGGCATTTGTAGTGGGAACCCTGAAGACTGATTCTACATAGCCTAGTATTTTTATAATTAATTTCTAGACCTCAAAAATAAAAAATCAAATTACATTCAATTACATTTAATTACATTTAACATTTTCAGTTTAAGAAAGACACTGACTTTTACCTTTTATAAATATTTCCATAATAAAGCAAACTTTTTAAAGCTGTTAAGGTCTTGCAGCTTTGGTGTAATTTTCTAGGAAATACATTAAAATTCTACAACTTATCCTTCCTTGAGAACAGGTATGCATGGCTCTGCTTTGCTAAATATATGACATTCTGATTTGCTCTGCATACAGGCATTTGGAAGTTTCTATTAGTTGAATCCACAGCTTCAAAATATTAATTTAGAACCAAAGTTCACTGAATGTTTGCAATGGGTCAGGAACTGTGTTATGTGCCAATAACACAAAGATGAATAAAAACCAGGCCTTTCTCTCAATGACCATTTAACTGGAGACTTTTCCGATGCCTTTTGAGTAATCACAAGATGGTGGTAGGCGCATTGTATTCAGTATAGACTGAGTAGGCACTGTATTTTATGAAAGCTGGATTCCTTAGGAAATGGTGGTGGGTAACACAAGGAGGGGGGAATTCCTTAATATCCTAAACATTTTAATGGTTATATTCATGTGGAATCCCCAACCAGAGGAAGGCATACATACAAAGCAAACAGAAACTCTCCAGGAGAAATGCACAGAATATCACATTATCTTTAACCACTTTTTTTTATACGAGGGTGCAAGGGAATGGGGTGGGAGAGAGAGAAGGAAGAAAAGAGGTAAAGAAGAAAGGAGACGAGAAAGAAAGAGCCACTGAGGAAAATTGATATATTCATCTTATTGCCTTTTTAGATTTGAATTGTTATGAAGGGAAGCAGTATCACTTGAGCCTGGAGAAAAATCCAAATGGTACTATCCTGGGACCCTGGCAGCTCTCTCCCCATGCATCTCTCCCCATCAGCCATCCCTTCCTCCTTTCTCATGCCTCCACTTCCCAATTTACCTTCACTGAAGACAAAATCTGAGATGATGTCAAAGGGCTGGATATGGACAGCTGATAGGATCATGGTAACAGTTTTCTGTGGATCGCTGGAGGCAAGAGAAATGGTCTGCTGAGCTTGACACTCGTAGGACTTCCCAGCTGGGGTGACCAAGGCAGAGAGGTGATGCGAATTGGCTGTGTGCTTCCCAGCTGCAGCAAATGTCCAAAGCAATGGTTAGGGTCTTCTTGGTGGCAGTGCTGTCATTGCTCCTAACTCAGCGCACCTAACTGGGTTGGCTCTTTCCCTTCAGCTCAGACCAACAGCCCATCCCTCCTATCCTCTTCTGGGGCTTCTCAAAGGCAGTAAGTCATGATGGACAAAAACACTCATTTTATGTGAGCTAGGGTTCCTTAAATACTGACTTGCAATTTCTTTTTGGAAAAGGAGAGTGACATTTAAACCTTAACTCTTTTCACTACATAGAGCCTAACAATAGGGATCCCAAAGGCATAGAAAAAAACAGTGACTTGGTTTTTCCAATGGCTCAGCAAAGAATAAAACATTTTCCTCAATAAAGCATGCTGGATTGCTTGTGCCCTGGTGAATGTCCTCTACTCAAACACATATATACCTATGAACATCCACCACACTTTTTTCTCCTTTTCTGGCCTAGGTTTGATTTTTTTTTTTCACTTCTTTTTACTTTCAAGCATTGTGGGGAATGCATGAAAAGAAAATTTTGATGAAAAGAAAAAATGTTCCTTAAACTACAGTTATTAAAAGGGTGGAAAAAGGACAGATGACACATGTATTCATTTGATTTCAATAAAAATTATTTTTCAGCTCAGGTGACTGGGTGATTAAAGGCCTCATTATGAAGAAAATAATTTTTAAAAACTTAAATATGTCGGGCTGGGATTGTGGCTCAACGGTAGAGCGCTCACCTAGCATGGGTGGGACTCGGGTTCGATTTTCAGCATCACACACAAAAAATAAAGGCATTGTGTTGTGTCCATCTACAAAAAAGATTCATTTGCTCTCTCTCTTAAAAAAAAACTTATATATGCTTTTTGATACTGATTGCAGATAGATACATTGTTATTTAGTAAATAGATGTTTCTCTTGCTGCAGTATTATTGGTATATCTTTTGGCGATTGGGTGGGCAGGATGCACTCTTTGTAGAGAATAGAAATGGCATACTAAAGCCAGTAGTTTAATCGCCAAAATGAAAGAATGGTCAGGAAAAAGCTTATAAATTAAGGCCTGGGTTATAGAACAGGCTCCAAGGTGGCTGCAGTTGATGACAGAAGACACTGTGTGAGCCTTGCTGCCATGCACAGAATGATACTGAAAGCCATCCAATCCTGACCAAAAAAGGATAGTTGCACTGTCCTCAAGCATTTTTAGGGGGAAAAAATGGTGCAGAAGAAAATAAAAATAAAGCTTTGGCATCCTTCTCCATGTTTCTTCTAAGGCTAAATGATGAGGAGGGTATGAATCAGACAGAGGACAAAACCAGGCCCTGAGTGACAGAGGAACTCCTAGAGGACTCACAGGCCTTCAGGTCTCCTCCACCCTGCAGAGCAAGCAGGCCAAGGCTGGACTTGGCCTAGCAGTGCATAGCCCAGACTGGTTTCCCAAACCCTGGGGAACTTCTCATCAGCGCCTTGGCTCCCAGGGGATGCCTGCACTTTCCCAGCCTTCCTCCCCAGCCCCGCCAGACTCCACTCACCGCTGACTGCGTCTTTAAAGTGGGTCTTCTCCGTGGAGTCGTAGACAAATTGCACCTTGCTCAGCCTCCACGTCGCTTCTGATCCCTTGGACGTGTTGTGGCTTTCCTGTCAAAAGTGGGAGGCACGTGTCAACCGCTCCAAGGGCTTCTGGATCTGCTATAGCCCACACCCACAGCCTTTCTGCGCGTCCCTCCAGGAGTTACCTTTAAAAACAGCATTTTGAGAGCATATGCACGGTCCACCCAGAACACCTGCAGCTCCGACTCATTGCTGCCACAGCGGCCATTCACCTCAGCTCCCCGGGTCAACGCGATGTCAGCCTGTTCTGTGATCAGCTGGGAACATAGACGCCACGCGCCCCCTCAGTGGCGCAGGCCCCAGTAGGGCTGTTAAGGGCGGCGCGTCCAAACTCTGGGATGCACATTTGGGCACTTCTTTGCGCGCGCACGCTCCCAGGTCCAGGAACATGCGGTTAGATTTTCTACGTGCAGCCCCCGCCAGTGGGGATGCAGAGAAAAGGGGATTTATTTTCAAAGCAGGCAGGGCGAGCAGAAGGTGTACAAGCCGGAACCCCCATGCAGCATTCTAGAGCAGCCTGCAGGGTTATGGGGTTGGGGAAAAGGCGGGCGACCCAGATCTTCGCAGGGCCATGAGGGAGGGTGCCCTTTGGCCCTGGAGCCCTAGGATCAAGCTGGAGGGGAAAGGGTTCCTTACATCGACATAATTGCTGGCCCACACATCATAAGGTACAATAAATTTGGCTGCAAATTCTGCCATGAGACACGTCGTCCCATTTTCCCGTACAACAAATATGTCTTTTTCAGGGTTAGTAGAAAGGCCTGAGAGATTTTCCACTTCTTGCTCTGCCATGATTTGAGCCATTGTATCTGCGGAACAAACAAAACGATCTCATCAGTTTAGTGCTCCTGAATTCTGTGCGTATGGGTCACTAGAGTGCAGAAACCGCGATCTGCGGGCTTTGGAGTGACAAAGTTCCCTGCTAGCATCTGTGTGCTCTTCAAGCCATTTCTCTAGCCCAGCGCTAACAAACTCAGTTCCATTGCTTTTGATTTAAAATGGGGATAAAATTTAAACATTTAAATATTCTTACTTATTTGCAATGAAGCTGGATTTTCTCTACATCCTGGGGGTTTGAAGCCAAACCTTTCTTGCTAATGCTGTGACCCCACTAAGCCAGCCTGTCTAGCGCTCTGTCTGGCATATGCCACACAGGTGTGTGGTTCCCAAGGGAGCTCCCTCCCACCAGCGGGGAAATCCTTCCCCTTTCTCCCAAAGGAAAAAAAAAAACTCAAAACATAAGGACCATATTGTTAATCTTAAATACTGGCTTTAGTATGCCATTTCTATTCTCTGCAAAGAGCGCATCCTGCCCACCCAAACGCCAAAAACGGTACTCACGGAACAGCATCAGAAGAATTCGAAGTCTATGGACGCTGAGAAAGGCTCTTCCTCTGAGATCCATGCTTGCAGTTGCTGCGGAAGAGGCCAGATGTGCTGCTGCAGTGGGCGCCTGAGAGGGAATCCCTCAAAGTCGCCGCTGGAGTGGGCCGGAGTGAGCGAAGGGCGGGGGACTGAGAGGGAGGCGGGAGGGAGCGCGTGTTCCCTACGCGCTGGCTAAGACCGGTGTCGGGTGCCGCACCGGCGGCTGCTGGCTGGGGAAGTCAGATCACTGCGGAGGAGAGCACCGCGCGGCGAGGGAGCTGTCCATGGCCGCGAGTGCTGAAAGGAATCCGGTTGTGTTGCAGGAGTGGTTGTGACTTGGCTTGTGCAGAGGTCCAATGAGATTTAGGGGGGCTAAAATTCTCCCTGAGTTTTTTTTCTTTATTCTGAAATTGTGTCCGCAACGATGAGTTTCTCCTGGGAAACTTAATGGCACCCTTGGACTTATTAACCTCCCGACCAGGTACAAGTAATATGTAGTATAAATATCATATCACTGGAGTCCTAAATTCTGAAAATGCTCCTGGCTCCTGAAAGAAAACGGTAGAGCACAAATTGCGCCTGCTTTGGAGGAGGAAGGGTAGAAAAGAATGAGAAGGAAAATGCTATGGCAACAGTTTCTTACATTTAGAAACATCTCCTTCTCTTCCCTGCTCTCAATGGAGCTCATAGGTTTAAAGTTAAATTGATGTCTCCTTAAATGGGGCCATAAGACAATGCAGTCTGATGTCTCCTTTTGGACTTATTGTCCTGTTATACTTTCTGAGTGCATGTGGACTCTGAACTTTGGGGTCACATACCCTCACTGATTATATTGTGATTATTCTGCCAAGAGAGATGTAAAGTTTAAGAGGTTATCTAGGGTCTTTTAGGACAGGGATTTTAGAATTACGCTGTAAGTAATGTCATATAGTTATGTAAGAAAAAATACACACTGATATTATTCTAAAGCCTCTAGTGGAAGAAAAACAAATATTACTGGGATAATTCCTATATTTACATTTTTTGGTAGTTTGCTCATTTTTTTTTCCTGTTCCTGCTCTATAAATAAGAATACACCCTTTTTAGGTGTCCTCCTGTTGTCCTCATTAATTGTGGTGATGTCAAATATTTCTTTTCTTAGTGAATATTTCAGTATATGAATAATCCTGCTCACTCAGTAATATGCTATAAAATAAACAATGTCATGTTAAAGGGCAAAATGCAAAACATTTTACCTGAATTATTTAATTTGATCTTCCTCACATCTTTAGAGAGTAGAGAAAGGAAGATATAGGTTATTGTTGTTATACCTACCCCTAAACCGAGGCTCAGAGAAATTAAATGACCTTCCAAACATCACATGGTCAGTTAGAATTAAAATAGAAGAATCACATGTTGTAACTTTGTAAGGATCATCTTCCTCTCTCCTTATATAATACTTAGATTTTGACTTTCATTTAAAAAATCTTTATTCAATGACCAAATAACAAACTGAAACCTAAAATCTCTATCAACAATTCATATTCCTGAAATTTATAGGGTTCTCATTGAAGTATAATCATATTTTGACACGGAATTTACTTCAAAACATCCATATAATTTTTTTGTTGTTTTCAAACACAGCCTTGCATCAAAAATTAGATCACTAGTGATTCAACTTATGCCATATTATTTAAATCAATACTATATTTTACATCTTATACTACATTGTGGTATTTCAGCCACAGATTTCTCAAGAACTTTACATAATGATTATATATAAAAATTGAGGCAAAATTGTGATTTTATATAAAGACAATTGTCAGTGGAAAGTTGTAAAATGTATACACCTTACATTTTGTCATGTTAGAAATTATTATAAAGCATTTATGTAAAATTATAAAGCAATAACATGTAATATAGCATTTTTCTCATTCTCTTCTCTATCTCCCCTTTTCTCTCCCTTTCTATCCCTCCCTCCCTCCCTCTCTTTCTACAACTTTAATGAGGATAAAAATAACATAGGTGGATTTCAGTTTAGGATTCAGTATTTATTATTTGCATGATCATGTACAGATTTTAGTTTTTCAGTCTAAAATATTGGGATGATAGCTAAGGGATGGCTGGTTAAGTAAAATGAACCAATAAATATAAAAGCATTCAAAACAAAATACAGGTTAATATAATCTTCTAGCATTAAACTGAATATCTACTACTTGCATTATGCTTAGTGCTTTAGACACCAAAAGATAAATAAATACCATTGTACAATGGAGAGAGAGAGAGAGAGAGAGAGAGAGAGAGAGAGAGAGAGAGAACTGTAAAAAGATTGTGATAGTTTCTTTTGTGATACATTGTTGCAGACATCTCACTTCATAACCTGTTAAAAGACTAACAGGATTAATTCATGGCTCTCTGCTTTAATAATAAAAGATGGGGCTGAGGTTCAGTAGTAGAGTACTTGCCCAGCCTGAGGAACAGGGTTTGATCCTCAGCACCATATAAAAATAAAATAAAAGTATTGTGTCCACCTAAAACTAAAAATATATATTAAAAAGTCAAAGTTTATTTTAAAAAAGATTAGATGGGAAGTACCATTGCTCATCAATCTTAACATACTGTAGCAAATTGTAATTGATTTATAAACCAGATGATGTTTCCTTTTAAATGTTTTTCCTGTATGTCTTTTCATACCTGATACAAATGGAATACTCAGAAGATTTTTTAAATAAAAGAAAAGAAAAAAAAATGATTTTAAACTTTTCTTCTGTGGAAGATCATCTTCAAAACATAATTAATTCAATACCTTTTTTTTTTTTTGGTGTTCAGTCTTAAACACTGCTTAAACTTCCAGATGCTCAATAACTTACTCATTTTATCAGTAGTCATTCTTACTTGCAATAGGAACTAGATCATCAAACTTACAACTTTAACCTACATTAATAAGACTTTTTAATAATTTTGAAAATGTATATATTCAGTTCCTTCAAATAAAACCAGAGGTGGTGAAAAAGAAAACTTTACTGATACTTTAGATATTAACAAAGTTCCCCAGGATCGGATCCATTTCTCATTTCTCAACTATGAGAAACCAGTACAAATTGATATAACCATGTACACTTGCATGAGGCCTGTCAATTTTCATTAGTACTGTTGGTAGTTAATACAAAAGATAGACATGAGTGTGATCAGATCCAACACACTGGATTTAGGAACCTCTTAAATCTTCTAGGTCCTGAAAGAATTCTCTTCAACCAAGCATTTACATATTGAATTAGCCTCCACGAAACTCATGACATATTGGATGCTTGCTATTTTATGTAAGTGAAAGAAAAGTCCCTGCATCATGGAACTCCCAATTTAGATGGAAAAAAATAAGAACACACATGAAGATGCAGTGCAGCCTGGCACAGTGGGTACATAAGCTCTTCAAAGGAAAAGGCAAAACAGCCATCCTAAGAGAGGTTGAAATTGACAAAGAAGTCCTCTGAAAGAAGGTGGGTCTTGAAGGAAGTGGATAATTTGACCTGGGATGGAAGACAAGGAATGGCAATGCAGATGAAATATCTGTGGAATAGTGGAGTTGATGCAAAGATGTAACTCTTCATCTTTCAATGTTTATCAATTTGATATGAAGAAGAAATTAGGCTCCAAAATTCACAATGCTTTATATACTGATTATGTGGTTTCTCTCTCTCTCTCTGGTCATTCATTCAACCATAGAAGGCACATGCAAAAGACAGGCCTATGCAAAACTTTCTCTAAACAAAATTAAAATTTTCAAGTTGTTAAGTGCATTTCTTTATACAATTGATTTGCATTGTAGAATCAAAAAGCAAAATTATGAAAATAAGGAAACAAAACTAATTAGAAAAGTATACATATGAGCTTCAAAAGGAAAAGGCCAGGCTTTGTTACAGCTGAAATTTGATTTTTTAGGTTTCTGTTCCTCTTACAGTCAAATGTAAAAATAGTCT